CTTATATCTTACAAATCTGACTTTACAACACACAATTGCAACTTCATATCCCGCAATTCAGAATTGCAAGATGTAAACTCGCAATTGGGAGAAAAAAAGCAATTACCTTTTTTTTTTCCTGTGGCAGAAACAAGCTTCCATACTCAATATATGATTGAATGTAATGTCTAATGCCAGTGCAATTTATTTTCCTAACGTCTGAATCTTGTCCATCCAGCTGTGGCAGGAAAGACATCTCCCAAAGCCAAGGCCAAGGGACAACTCCCATGAGAGCCATGAACTCAATACGTATCCCCCGTTATGACATTCACAGCCTGAGGGGGCAACCACACCCCTACGACAACCCAGGTTTCGTGTCGGAAGGGAAAAAATATTCCACATCGGAGACTCTGCCCAAGTCTGGAATACAGACACAGAAGCTGTGAGCTCCATACACCATCATTGCAAATAGCCTGTTCCAAGGGAAGCTAAATTACTATGCAGTATTTCCTCTTTCAATATGCCACTAGGCAAAAATAAAGGAACTTCATTACACTCACGTCATAACTATTCCCCGTAGAACTGTTTTGTGTATAATATCCAACCAGAATATTCATGTTGAAAGTTGATATTTTAGCCATTATCTTTTGTAAACTCTTTTGGCTTCAGTATTGTTATCAAAAAGAACAAACTGACTACAACATGCAAATTCACTAGATGGCGATGTTTAGTAACCAAGCAGATGTGGAACTGAGATGGTCATAATTCACTGGGATTTACTGGTGCAGTTTTTCCTAACCTTCATTGTTTTAGGGTTCACATAGGCTTTTTTTTTTTATCAACACAAACCAGGAATTTGTTCCTTTTAAATGGATATTTGGTAACTATACAATAGAGTCTCAATTGTGTATATATAATTATAAATAAATAAATAAATTAGTAAATGTTGAGACTAATATTAATAATGCTGTAGTTAGTTCATGTTAAAGTCCCCCCTGTGGTGAAAATCAAGCTTTTTTGTTGTTTATAGACCTTGAGAAACGTGGGCGCCGTCATCTTTAGAATATTGTCTTTGAACTTCCGGTTCTGTATAGAACTATGGCATTGCTGTTGAGGAGTAATTAGTGAAGTAGATTTACTTATTGTAGAGTTAATAAAAGTTATCATGAGCATTGTAATGTTTATCATGAGCATTAAAGCAGATGTCTTAACAAATGTCGAACGGGAATTGTTTTTACGAGCAGTTCATTCTGCAAGATCGCTGTGGAAATATACAGACCGGAAGTCAAAAGACGCTGAAAAGGGGCGGGGCTACATAAGGGGTGCGCTTCTCATTTCTTATTTGTGCATCCTCGTTTCCTTTCCTTGTTTCCTTTCCTTGCGTCTCAGCTCCACCCCCTGTAGGACGTGAGGGTAGGAAGCGAGGAAAGGAAAGGAGGACAGAGGAATCGAATAAAAGCTTTTTTATATACATTGGAATACTTGATCACTCGAGTGTCACTCCACAGTGTCATAAGCAGCGCTAAAAGGATCTCCCTTATGTTGTTGAAGTTTGGTTATTTAATAAATTCATAATAAATAATAATAAAGATAGGCTAATATCTGAGATGTGTGGTTTATATAAACTGCGAAGGTAAAGTATAAATTCAAATGATTGTGACCGATGTGAAGGGGGAGGAGAATTGACACGTGCGTCACGTTTAGTCAATATAACAGTTCCGCGTAGGATGCACCTGTGTATCCTCGCTTATGACTCCTCAGGAAGCCTCCTCACTCCTCGATCCTCGACTCCTCACGGTGCAATTAGAGAATTGAGATGTCCTTCAAGGTTGCTTGAGTTCGATCGGTTTCCGGGTCATAGGAGGGAGGACGGAGGAGCGAGGAGACGAGGAGGGATATTGAGAAGCACCCATGGTCTATCCACAAGTTTCCTACGCCCCATGAGGCCTTGCGTCAAAAGTGGGTGCGTCTTCCGGTTGGAAGTAAACAAAGCGCGACTTGACATGCTTGATACTCGTTCATTCAACAGTTGACAGTCATTCAAGTTATAGCGATCCAAACTAGCTAACGATGTGGGAACACAACCTCAACGAAATTAAAAAGGGTGAAATAACAGTACCTTTACCCTCCGCAGTAGTTGATTGGGAGTATTATAATAACATTATTAATAATCAATACTCATCAAGGCATGGTGACAGACAGTTGTGTGAGCTGACAAACAATTCAAATAAAAAATACACACTTCGTCATTGTGTTTTGGAGTTTATTCAAAATTATAAATGAATGTACTGGAATACATTAACTGGCACATTTGGTATTCTGTCAACACAGGCTTTGATCCTGAGTTTAGGTGTAACATCAGTAGAGAACAGCCAATCACATGCTGAGAGAGTTTATAGAATATTAAGAATTTAAACAAATGTACACAGGAAGATTCGTCGTCTTTTGGGAGGTGATGGAAACTACAGTCGTTGGCAGGATCAGAGACGGGCGGCAGGATCACTGTGATTTCGTTTTCAGCTTATGTTCAAAACAATCACGTTTAAGCCACTGAACTAGTTTAATCCGGTTATACATAGGCCTACAACCGTGAACAGCACATGTTGTCCCTGAGCTCCATAACGACATCTCTCATAAAGATTTGCGTCTTTAAATAGTAAAATAATTCTCCGAAAAACAGCTAGCCTCTTCGCTAACTAACACACAAAATACCATTGGAATGCTACTTCCGCCGCGTCACCGGAAGTTTCATCCACTTTATTTTTTACAGGAGCACCCCTCGGAAACTTGTGGATATGTGTGTTTTTTTTTTTTTTAAGTGCTCCGTTATGTAATTTTAAAGTCCCCTAATGTTGTTTTGAAGTCTCCTACAACAGGTTTACATGCATCAAAGGTAAAGCAAGCTTTCATTTTCTCATAATATTCATTTGCACACCACCACATTTTCAATGATTCTCAAACGACTCGTCAGATGAATCAAAATCCCTAATTTCGTTGATTGGTCTAACGCTTACAGTGCGTGTGTCGAAAACAAAAACGCCCATTGCCAAAACAACCATAGACAGTAAAAGAAATGGACACAGCAACCCCATACTTCAAGGGAGAAAAGTGAAGTCAATTAGAAGCACTCACTTCCTGATGGCTGAGCGACTGCACAGGCTCAAACTGAGCTTGACTATGTATGTGTGACGTGAGCAACCTGTCTTGACAGCCAAGAGGGATCTGAATCATTCCCTTCCGTAGCTTGCAGAGATGGTGAGTATGAGCTGTCCATGAGCTTGCAGCAGGAGCAACTTTATGACCATTGACATTATGCCTCCACGTCCCCCAATTGCTAGTGAGTTAGCCTATGGTTAGCCTATTTTGACAAAAACTGCTTCTACGGGGCCATAACATAAGATACAAGGTAATGGAGCCTTTTATACATTATGTTTCTTTAGAAATAAACAATGGACAAATGGAGTCACTCACTGGTTTGGTTCTCAAATTATCTTTCTCA